ACCCCAAAAAAAAAAAAAAAAACCTTTACCCCCTCAACTACCTCCCGCCATGGCCATGGCAACACCTACAGAATTCTACTCTGAATCTAACCTATCCACCTAGCTCCCTATCAACCTATCTGCCTATCCCTACTGCCCCACTGCATCAATCGAAGCCTGGGTGTGATATGCGGAAATAGTAGCAGAAGAACACTATGATATTTGTTAGACCAGAAAAGTGAAGAGACCGTCTGATGTCACCAAACTTCCAGCTTTCTGAGAAAAATTAATTCAAAGTTAAATCAGTTATTGAACTTTTGAATTTGGGTAAAGAGAAGCACATCAATGCAATAATGGTTATTAAATGTATGAAACAAATAAGAGACCGGTACAAACAACAATGGATACGAAAAGAAAACGTCCCGCCATTGACACACCCCACCCAAAGCTGGACAAACATTTAATTCATAAAAATCTGTTAATATAAATTTCCACTTTTTTAAAATCTTGATACAATACATTTCCTGTAGATTTAGAATTTTTTTAAAAATCTAGATCTAGATCTAGACCTTTACAAAAACAAAGATCTTTTTGGCGTCAATAATATTAAGAAAGACTGCGCGTTGGAGCAATCTAAAATATCTAACACTAACACTAGTAAGCGTATCTTTGAATTCAACATATTATTGTCAAATTAGCCAAGCAGTTGTAAAAAAAAAATGACATCTTATGCAGAAAGGATTCTCTTATCCTTCAAGGAGATTCTTCACATGCGCGTGTTCAATTTTTTACCAATCAAAACTTCCGTTTTTCCTATATTAGAGTGATTACAAAAAGGTGGATGCAGCCGATTGAAGAAGTACTAAATCTACCTTCCAATGATACGAAGCTACCAAATATCATGAAATGTTTTCAGTTGAATTAATTAAACAAGCAAATATTTAGTTCCTTATATTTTCCGGAATCATTTCTTATTAGACATAACCACGGGCAGTTTTTGAGACACCTAAAATACTCAAATGGAATTTTCAAGCGGTACTCAAAACTCATCAGTCGGTGTTCTTTTAATTTTAAAATAAAGAATTAAATTCCTAACAGAGGACCTTATCTAGATCTAAGTTTTAGTGAACAAAGGATAGAGAGAGAGAGACGAGATTCATTTTGTTGTGTTGACAGTTCTCAGTATTCTGGGCTAGTAAGCCATTAGCCTAATAAGACCAATAGTCCGTCTTACCATCCCCTGCTTTATTCTAATTAATTGGGCCTAGATGTGAGTTCGATTGTGTCACTTAAGCGCGAAAATCTTCAGTCAAAAAAGGGGGGAAAGAAAAAGAAAAAGATTGGAGGAGAGGGGGTGGGGGGGCAGGACATGAAATATTGAAAGTAGAAATCACAAAATCAGAAAGAACTTGGAGGATGGGTTGGAGTGTGGGGGGAAAAGGGAGGGGGTGCAGTTTGAGATTTGAGATACACAACATAAGGCCTAGCCATAAAGTGGACAAAAAATGCAAGCGAGACAGACACAACGGACAACAGACAGTATGGAAAGAGGAAGGACCTTTCAGTATACGCAGTGTACGATGGGGAGAGAGCTGAAGAATGAGGACTAAGTAACAGGAATTGGAATACGGCTCATAACATTTGCATCAGAACAATAAAATCGGGTGGGTTTTTCAAAAAAGAAAAAAAAAAAAGACTAAAACAAGTAGCATACCTGAATAGCTTGGGTAGATTTCATAAGGTCAATCACAGGGGACGGTAAGGCAGTGTAAACGTTGAATCACTGTCACAAGTAGATTCTACCTGAATTGTTGGCAGCCCCTAGCCTAGCTCTGCAAAGGCTGGCTTCGAAATGAAAAATTTAATGTCTGCCAAAAGTTGAGAGAAAGAGAGCAAACTGAACTGTATTCAAAGTATTCATGAAGTAGCTGTCTGCTGATTTGCTGTAGGATCTCTGAACTTTACTCAGATCCCTGGTTCAGACTCGCGCTTTTATTTTTAGCCTAGGTCAAGAGTACTGTAAACTGTCTCCACTTTCGATCACAATAGATGCCACAAAGGCACAACATGACCCCCCCCCCCCTTTCTCTCTCTCTCTCTCTCTCTCTCTCTCTCTCTCTCTCTCTCTCTCTCTCTCTCTCTCTCTCTCTCTCTCTCTCTTTCTCAGTCACGTTCTTTTCTAGAGGGCTCGATCCCCCCACGAATTGTTTTTTTATTCTCAATATTTAAGCATAAAATGAAAGATGGAAAAAGAGAGAAAAAGGATTTCACGGAGAAAGAGTCGTAACTAGAGAAGTGGGGCATGCGTAGGATTAAAAAATAAGTGAACACATATAGAGCTAATGACACACTAGAAAATGAGTGAGCTGATTTGACTTGAACCTCTCAGCACCATTATAGGAAAAAGTAAACGTAAGAGAGTACAGAATTGCGGCGAGCACGAGTGCACGGGGTAGAAAACTCACGGGTAGCAGTATAAATATAAAAGCGTAGAGAAGGAAGAAATTATACGAATGAATGAGTATGGAACTAAGAAAACAGGTCGATGCAAGAGAAGCTAATCGTACTCGTGGAGCTTAGCAGGCTAGAGTTTGAGGAAACTAATAAGACAGACGATGATGGAAGGTCATGAAGGGAAGATGTAGTTCAAATGAGCAATCAAACCGTAAAAAGCGACTAAGCAGTAAACAGGACTTGCCCAAATTTAGGCTGCAAATAACAGAAGTTACGTCCAGAGT